TGAGTATTTAAGGAAAGAAAAAACTGAGCTACTGAGAGAAGTAAGTTAGGGGCGAGAGGACGAGAGTAGGTGTTGAGAAGTTGAAAGCGAAAATAGGAAAAGTATTTAGAAGTATTAATGAAAAGGAAAAATTAAGGGTTAGAAGCCACATTCGAGAAATCAGTAAACTGAAATTTAGAAAAAACCACATAAAGCCAGCGTAGAATGACTATATGTTTAAAAGATAGGGGCTGTTCTTGGTACCAGAATCCTCAGACATTCGATGCTAGTATTTGTGGGTTGTGTGACTTCCTTTTAATAATCTTTAGCATTTTTGAATTGTCAATCCGAGTAAGTATGACATATCAATTTTGCGCAGAATGCTCAATTTTAGGAGACGTATACGAAATCGATGTACTCAGTGCAGTGCTCAGGTCTGATCTCAAAGCATTTCGCGATGCAATCAGTATTGTCATGAATTTTTATTATTCCTACAGGTACTTTTTATTAATTTACCGTTAAAACGAGATAGGTGAACTGATAGTGGAAAATGAGCAGCTTTGCAGTTCTTCGTAATTTCAGCTCAAACGAAGAGTCGTCCAACAAGTATCTGATGATCGGTTTGAACCTCATGTATTTGCTCGCCACTAACCAGCACGCACAGTTTCACATGGTACTTTTTCACCGTCATTTTTGTCGCAGTAACAATTATAATACCCTACGGCACACATGCATCGAAAAAGTCAACTGGAGATGTAGCCCAAAGATCGAAGGTCGTGGCATAGTTGCTCCCGATGTTTGGGAATATCCCGAAAAGCTACTGACATGGGATACTCACGGTCTGGGCGATCTTAATATTCTTAAAAATTAATAAATATATTTATAGCAAGTAACTTAGTCGTTTTCTTCCTCTTAAGATTCTGTTTTCCTCGTAAGATTCTATTTTTTACCCAAACAACAAGTGAGCATTTATGACAGAAGCTTGCTGTAGCACTAACTTCTGTGGATAGAAACCTGACAAATTCAAAACAGTTTTCAAGATCTAAGTTATGTCCGACAGAGTGTAATTGACCTAGGGCTGTACTGAGAGTCACAGTACTGTCAAAGAGCATAAGAATGAAAATTTATGAACAATTATAATTGGCTAAACCGAAAAGGACGAAGTGGAAGTTGGGAACCGGGTCAAGCAAAACTTCCAGGATGACTGCCAGCCGAAATAATGAGCACTTGCTGCTGAGGCATTTTGCAGCATTTTGCTATACGACATAAAACATAGGCAAAGTTATTTTTCCAAGAAATTTTATTACAGTTGCTGGAACAGATCGATCAAAATATTCAGCAGAACAATCCGTACATTACAACACCGGTGAAACTGGAGCAATCGCTGATGGAAGGCGTTTATAATAAGGTTCTCCTCCTCCCATCTAATTGTACGGGATTTCACTGCTACAGTACTTTCATTTGCCAGTCTTAAATTATTTCTGAATACTCATATTACAGGTGGTTCTCACGGAAAAGAATATTCCCAGCCCGTATTATGCTCTTTTTATTCGCATATCAATGGATACTGTCCGGTAAATTCTAAAATTTTTATAGCTGCCACTAAAAATTTGATGATATCTTAAAAATTGGTGATATCTTAAAAAA